CCGGTAACGCTGCTTTACGGCACTCGCTCCGCCCCCGCAGGTGCGCGAGACCGAAGCCGGCAAACATGGTCGCAGCCAATTTCCCCAGCCCCGCTTTGACCGCGCGAGCAGGGGTGTTACTCTTGTGCTTGAGCAGCTTGGCCGCTAGTCAGATCGAGGTAGGAGTCAGGTTCCTCTGAACGATGGGCCCATGGGGGACAGCGGTGGCGTGCCTGTGAGCGCCCCGGTGCCCGAGACACAGCACAGAGGAAAGTGTCCGGGAGATATCAGCCGCCCACTGCCCTGGGAGGGTGTCATTGGGACGGGATGGTCTGTGTCAGCCTCGAAAACAAATAAGGAGAACCGACTACCAGGAGACAGGGGGAGATTTGTGCGTGCAGTCCCTAGCAAGTGAAATTCTAGTGAGATAGCCACAGGAGGTCTCTAAATTATTTGCAGGCTTAAGGGGCCGGGCTAATCAGCAGATACTTGCAAGTCTGTCCAAAGTTTTCTCTTGTGCCTACCCCAAAGCTTTTTAAATACACTCTCCCTACCAGTTTAAAAATAATAAAAGATTGCTCGTGGGTGCTATATCTATTTATTACTGCTGGCTTCTACTATAAAGTATATTTCAGATAAAATTAATATGAGTAGATACCCTGCCATTTCCTCCATTAGTCTAATGGGTTATCTTGTATACTTCATTTTGGATACCATTAGTCTTTTTTTGTAGTTCCACAGTTTTTCTGTGTGCTATTTTGCATTTTAATGTTTGTACCTCGTGACCCTCTGTTCATTTTGCAGTAAAGGCACAATCTCTGTAGATCCTTTACTTATCCTTTACCTTTGTTCTTACTGTTGTAATTTGTACATTTAGTTAGTATAACGCTCATCTGTTCTAACTCTTGTGTTCTTTGCACTCTCTAGTCCATCTTCATCACTTAGAGTGTAATAGTACCTTAACTGGTTTGTCTCAAGCCGTTCTTCCTTCCAGGCTGTTTAACAAGTTGCAACTAGAGGAACTTTCAAAAATATAAATCTGATCTTGTCACTCATATAAACCTTAATGCTTTTAAAGATAAAGAACAAAATCTTCATTGTGACCCACAAAGAAGGCAATGCATACTTTAGCCCCTCCCTACATAGTTCTTTCTTGCCCTGTCCCCCTAAATTATGCTAACCTTCTGTTTCTCAAAACCTTTAAGCTTCCTTTCTGCCATAAGGGCCACATGTTCCCTCTGGTTGGAATTATTTTCCTTCTTCACTTTATCTTTTGGTTCCTAACACCATTGTTACTTCTCTGGGGAACCTTCCCTGACCCCCACCCTAATCCCAAATCGGGCCAGATCTTCCTGTTATACTGTTCATGACACTGTGTACTTACCTTTATAAAATTGATAGCTTGCCCTTATTTAATAACGTGTCAATGAAATTGAATAGTGATTCTTGGTGAAGGCATGGTTTTTGGTCCATCATTGTTTTCTGAGCTACCAGGACAATAACTCATGGTATCCAAAAAATGTGATGCATGTTTTTTGAATGCTTCCTTATTAAACTCTGGGATCCTTGAGAGAAAACAGCATGATTTTTAGTGATTATTGTACTACTATATTATATATTACCTAGTACATAATAGGTGAACCATTAATTTTATGTGCCTGTGTTGTCTAAGCAATCACTTCTTGAATTTTTCTCTAAAGTATTACTGATTTAAGACTTTTCTCCATGCAAAAAGTCAAGTGTATAGAGTTAAATAACAATGCAGCCAGCTGAGAGAAAGGACATAGACTAAAATACAGATCTTCAAATTCCTAAATCAGTGTTTTACCCACTGAAGTAAAGTATTATGGGTGGCATTAAGCATTACAATAATATAGCATTATTGTATAGTATTGTTTTCTTTAGCAGTTAGGGAGGGTATTGGGAAAAGTTAAGAAAAATATATGTAAATACATAACATTTAAGTAGATTTTAAATTTTATTCTAATATTTTTAGATAAATATTTTAGTCATGATCCCTATATTCTGTGAGCTGGTTAATATTACCACCTTATAGATGGGGAAATGGACAGTGAAGTTAACCAGCTATTTTTTTTTTTAAGATTTATTTATTTGTGCATACAGAACTAGGGTACAGGCCAGAGGTGCAGGGGCAGTGAGAGACTTCACCAGAGACAGAGTAGGGAGCAGAACAAGTAGATGGACGAAGTACACTGCTGAGGGGAGCAATGGGCGGTCAGAAGAGGTCTGCCGTGCAGTGCTGTGTGGTCACCTCCCTGGCAGGCGGGGATCGAGTCATGCTGAAGTGGCTTTAACTTCTCAGTGCTGTGCTTTAACCCCTTGTGCCACCAGGGAGGGCCTAACCAGCTATTTTTATTTTATATTGCTAGTAAATTAACCATGCTAAAATTTGAATCCAGGCTTTCTGATTGTCCTAATTATACTGTTTGGGAGCAACTGTTAGTTAGTCATTATGCTTATAGTTTTTATTATTTCTACATATGATAAAAATAGGGTCTGGATGGTTTTAGATGCTGAGGATTTTAATATTATATAGTGGCAAATACAGTATAGACCTTAACAGATTAGTGAAAATGTTACGTGGCAGTATGCTAGAGAATGTACTGAATAAAATATTTTGGTGAATTAAAGTAAAGCAATTGGAAGCACCTAGCACAAATTAGGAATGAATATTCAGTGGAATTTCATTAGGAAATGTATTGTTACTTTGTGTAGAGCAAAGACATGAAATTAGCAATTTACAATTTGGAGACTGAAAAACTAGAAGCATATTAGAAAAAGCTGGCAGTGTTTGAGATAAATATGTATAATTAAATGGCATTTACTCCACTTGTGCCCCCCAATAATAACAAAAACAATTTTATTCTTCATAAAGTCAAATAGAATATTCTGTGAACTTGCATAATGATAAATTACTGTTACTGTAATTGTAAAAACAACATAAATCTTAACCATTAATTTTGAGCCTGGGAAATATGACTTCTAATCATTTTTGTTGTTATTTGACTGATAGGATCAAGCGGAACAGTTCTTTAGAAGTGGCCATACAAACAACTGGGCTGTTTTGGTAAGTATATTTTATAAAGATATAACTTGCTGGTAATTTTAGATGTGTGTCTGAGTAATTTTGTGTGAATCAAAAATTTTGAAAATAAAAGTTTGATTTGGCTATATTTTAAATGATTTTGATTTGGCTATATTTTAAATTCATTGCCTCACTGAATAGTATTCTTTGCCTTGGGTATATTTGTCAAGTGGTGACATATAAATAAAGTGAGACCATATTAGGGATGCTGTTCAAGGAAGCATTTTATAAAATATAGAATTATTTTAATGATAGAAACTAGTAACTATAGTAACATTATAGATTAGTTAGACTACTTTACTTTATTTCTCAAAGATTTATTTATTTATTTATGCATACAAGAGCTGGGGTATAGGCCAGAGGTGCAAGGAGTAAAAGAAATCACTAGAGACATAGTGGGGAGCAGAATAGGCAGATGTACTGAAATACATTGCTAAGAGGAGCAGTAGGTAAGACAGGAGAGGTCTGTTGTTCCATGTGAGTCAGCTCCCTGGCTGGGGATTGAACTGCAGTGGCTACAGATTGCTTCATAGTGCTGAGACTTAAACCCTTGCACCACCAGGAAGGTCCTGTTTTTTTTTTTTTAAAAAGATTTATTTATGTGTACAGGCTAGAGATACAGAGGCAGTGAGAGGATTCACCAGAGACAGAGTGGGGAGCAGAACAGGACTAATGACAAAGTAGGAGCAGTGGGAGGGTCAGTAGAGGTCTGCCACACCATGTGGGTCAGCTCCTGGGTGGAGGTTGAACTCATGCTGAAGTGGCTTTAGCTTCTTAATGCTGTGCTTCAACCCCCTGTGCCACCAGGGACAGCCCTATACATTTCTGTATTTAATTCATCAATGCTTTTTTTTTTTGGTGCTTGAAAAGTGTGTGATTGTTTAACAACTGGGGTTTTATTTCATGACACTGTCATGAGTAGAAGATACAGTAAATTTGACTTAGTGAAAAAAGTGTCAGCTGGGAGGGTCAGCTAGAAGAATGAGTAAGAAAATAAAGAGGCAAAAAAGGAAGCTGATTTTTTTTGAAAATGAAAAGGAACAAAATATATAGCATCTCAAAGCCATTAACTCATGTTGGAAAAGGATGAAAACTGAGGAACACATTTTGTGAGACTATAGTGGGAATGTAAAGGAGGTAGGTAGAGGAAGTCAACTAAAAGTGCAGAACAAACATGTAAGACTACAGTTAACTTTACCAGAGCCAAAGGGAGATGGAAGGGTTGAGGCCTTACAAGTTTATTGAGAATAGTTTCATAAAATTATGTATTTATCTACAGATTGCTAGAAGTAATTACAGAGTGATTATAGTTGCTGTTATGTGTTTGTGTTAAATGTACTTGTATTGTGGTTAAATAGAGCAGTGTGTGGACGTGGACTCATGCCTCATTTTTGTGTTCTCCAAGACCATGAGATTTTATTATGAAAATAATCAAGATAAGGTGACAGTTTTCAGTGATCACTTATAAGTGGAGGAAAATGATCCACCAGTTTGAAAAGATGCTTGCTCTAGAGGAAATAAGTGCCCTTCCATGATTAGTCTCAGTCTGTGAATGCTTAAAAGAGGAAATTGTGCACATCATTGTACTAATTGCCAGGGCTCATCCCTGAAAATTAAGGGCTTACTAGCCTGTACTGCACAGGCATTAAAACCTCTTTTTCTGGGAAACCCAATCTCAGTAACCTGGGTCTTAGATGAGAAAGAGGGTTGAAAAAGAATTGTTACTGAGGCCCTCCCTGATGGTGCAGTGGGTTAAAGCACAGCACTGTGGAGCTATTGCAGCCACTGCAGCACCAGTGTGAACCCCAGCCAGAGAGCCGCCCATGTGGAGGCAGACCTCTCCTGTCTTGTTCACTGCTCCCCTCAGCAGTGTATTTCAGTTGATCTGCCTGTTCTGCTCCCACCCTGTCTCTGGTGAATCCTCTCACCCCCTGCACCTTTGGTGTACTCCAGTTCTGTATGCATAAATAAATATATCTTAAAAAAAATAAATTATTCTAAGCATTCATCACAGTAGTTTTTATATTTTGCCCAGTATTTTGCATATTCACTCAGACTTAACATAGTGAAACTTAAATTATATTCTTTTTCTTTTTTTTAAAGATTTATTTATTCATACAGAACTGGGGTATAGACCAAAGATGAGGAGGGTGAGAGGATTCACTAGGGACAGAGTGGGGAGCAGAACAGGCAGATGGACGAAGTACACTGCTGTACTTCGGGCAGCGGGCAGGAGAGGTCTGCTGCGCCATGTGGTCTCCTCCGGGGCAGGCGGGAATCGAACTCATGGGGAAGTGGCTTAAGCTTCTTAGTGCTGTGCTCTAACCTGCTGCGCCACCAGGTTATATTCTTAAATGGAAAAATCATGAAATTTGACCAAGGGAAAGTTCAAAGTATGAAAAATGAATTTCTTTCAGATTTAAGAAAATAAGATCTCACTTCCATGGCAGTTTTTAATTAATTTGGTGTAAGACTTGACTACATGATCTAGAGGTCAATGAAATGCCCTTTGCTTTTGCTTTGCTTTTGCCACCAGAGGGAGCAAGAAGGAAAGTTGGATTCCATTTAGGTCTCAGGATCCGCTTTGAATAAAACATTTTTTGCCAGTGTGTAATAGAAGAGATTTTAAAGGTAGTCCATATTGACGGTTAAAAAGTGTAATGAGAAAGGATGAAAACTGAAAAGCTGTTGTATTCTTTGACCCACATTTTATGGTAACACTGTTAGCAGCTAATTGCATATCTTCCTAGAAATTTCCAATTCATATGCCCACATTTGTACATTTGTGTCTGAACATCTCCCGCTTTTAAAAAAAGAGTCATGCCAAATGTTCTTTTGCAACTTGATTTTTTTGTTTTTTGGGTTTTTTGGTGTTCTACTTGTAAGTATGGGTTATCTATTAAATTGGTATTTCCTGGTCTCTTCTTTTTTCTGACTCTTAATTTCTTGCCTAGTAACTTGCTGGTGAAAAATGAGGCAGTTTCTTAGCCTTTTGGGTATGGTGATGTACACAGATTATACTGTTTTTTTTTTTTTTTTTTAATGACTGATTCAGATACTATTTATGCTTACATTAGGGAAACTATAGATTCTTCAGATAGTAATTTTGTTTCTGGCCTTTTGGTTTTGATTTTTGCCAATAGAGGTAACACTATAGTGAAAATACTTGAATACATATTTCTATATTAAAATGAGCATTCAAAAGATTAAGTAAATTTTCAAAATTGTTATATGTCACAAATTACTCTCTCATATCCTGTCAGTAAGATGTGGGTCTTGTGGATACTTATAATTCCATATGTATTTTTTAGTGTGCAGAAAGTTGAGCATCTTTGAGAGTCTTGTCCAATTTTAAAGCTTTGTTATGAAATGTGTGCTCATTCTTTGCCCATTTTTCCCCCCAAAGTATTGTTGGTCATCCTTTCCTTACTGATCTACAACTTTATGTTTATTTCTATTAGAATTTTATGGCATCTTTGACCTGAGTTTTACATTTTTTTTTTTAAAGATTTATTTATTTATACATACAGAACTGGGGTACAGGCCAGAGGAGCAGGGGTGGTGAGAGGCTTCACCAGAGACAGAGTGGGGAGCAGAACAGGCAGATCAATGAAGTACACTGCTGAGGGGAGCAGCGGGCGCGTCAGGAGAGGTCTGCCACACCATGTGGTCACCTCCGGGGCAGGCGGGAATCGAACTCATGCAGAAGCGGCTTTAGATTCTCAGTGCAGTGCTTTAACCCGCTGCGCCACCAGGGAGGGCCGAGTTTTACATTTTTATGTAGTCAAACATTTGTTCTTTCCCTTATTGAATTCTAGGTAGAAAATACGTTTTAAATTAAAAAAATACAGTTATTTTCCATTTACATGCAAAAGAATATTTATCCTACTCTCAAAATTGATTTTATCGACTATCAGCAGAGACCTGTAGTAGGAGAGCATAGGGTCTTGGTGGGTACTACAGCCCAACCCAGACTTGTCTTTTACTTTATCTAGAATTTAGGATTCTCAAGAAAGCTGCTTTTTGAGGCCTAGTGTTAGAGTTTTCTGGTACCTTTAAGAATCAGTTTCTTTTGGGCTCTCCCTGTTGGTGCAAAGGGTTAAAAGTGCAGCACTATGAAGCTAGCCCAGCTGCTTCTGCATGAGTTTGATTCCTGGCCAGGGAGAGGATCCACATGACCCAGCAGACCTCTCCTGTCCCACCTGCCGTTCCTCTCAGCAGTGTACTTTGTCATCTTGCCTGTTCTGCTCAACGCTCTGTCTCTGGTGAATCTTCTCACCTCCCCTGTATCTCTGGCCTGTACCCTAGTTCTGTATGCATAAATAAATAAATCTTTTTTTTTTATTTAAAGAATCAATTTCTTTTTTTAAGTGTAAAATTTGCTTGGATTGCTCTTAGTTTTCTGTTCTAGTCACCAGTTTTTCTATAATATATTCTCTTGTTTCCTTATAAAACTGTTTGCATGTTATGTTTTACTCTCTCTCTTACATTTTCACAACTAAATTAGGGAGCAATCCAGAGTAAGAGTACTGTTATGTAACACAAGGTAACTAATTTTCTCTTCTCTGAAGAGATTATGGACATTGTTTTTGATTTTAAAGGAATTACTCTTTCAGACATAGGAACATTACAAAATCACAATAATTGAAAGCAACTGTAAGTAAGTTTAGTATTTGATTACCTCCCCCAAAGATTTGGTTTCTCTTCAGCTGCTAGGTCTTTTGTATTTAATACTAATTATGATAGATCTCTCAGAAAGAGTGGCTTTATTGACAAGCCTTTAGCCTGAATTATGCTATAGTTCTTTTTAAGGTACCTTTATGTCACTTAAAGAGAAATAATTCTGTAACTCCATGGCTTATTTTGATTCATAAAATAACATATTTGTTTTAACACTTTAGGTGTGTACATCCCGATTCTGGTTTAATTATCGACATGTTGCAAATACTCTTTCTGTTTATAGAAGTGTCAAGAGGCTAGGTATTCCTGACAGGTAAGGAATCTTAATAAAGTATAATTCTGAATCCAGTGAAAAATCATCCTTAGGTGGTTGTTATTATATTTTTATTTTTGTGTTGCTTTTGAAAAGTCTGAAATATTTGTTGTTGTTAAAGCATAGCATCATATATGAAGTAGCTGTTAAAACTGTATAATAGCAAATTGTATAAAAGCAATAATAAAGTATAAAGATCTGATAAATATATCTTGTGTCATTTAATTATTAAATGCTTCAGCCAGGTTTTTAATTGTAGGTAATAGAAGGCAATTCTGACTGATTTAAGTATAAAAAGATTTATTGGAAATGTACTGATTAGCTCACCAAATGGGTAGAGGCCAGTAACTTTAAATAGTTGGGAACAAGGAGGTGTATCTAAAAATTGCTGCATAAAACCAATCAGTGGCAAAAATGATGCCATAAATTACTGAAGGCAGACAGACTCAGCGCTGAATAGCTGCTGCTGTTGCCTTTGGAAACTTAATGTTACTACTGCTGTCATTATCCTAGCTTCCTAGGTATCTAGCTCTTAATTTAGAGTGGTTGGTGAAATGTCATATTGACAAAACATAGATCAGGGCCGATGTCCATGCTGCGAGGGTGACAGGACTCAAGACTACAGCGCTGTTAGCTTCCATACAGGGGACAGACTCTGCTTCTGCAAAGACTCATGAAGTAGGCTGTTTCCTGATTACAGGAAGGGAGTTCAGGGATGAGGCAGGACATCCCCAACCTCTAACCCAGGCACATGTCCTGTACATTTGGCTTGTCCGCTATAATAGATTGTTTCTACTTCTATTAAAGCAGTTACATACAGCAGGGAACCACAATCAATTCCATTATTTAGGTTTGATTTATTTAGTTCTGTGTTCTTCTCTATTTGTGAGGCAGTGTGGAAAGATCTTTGTGGTCAGATGGATGAGTTTGAAATCTGACTTGGTGATTTTGATCAAGTTAATTTTCTTCATTGTGCTTGTTTTCTCATCTCTTATATGGTAATACTGGTTTCCTTTTTGTAGGATTTAGATACTTGAAATAAAAACAAATAGAGATGTTAAAAGAACTGCAGGAGCATAAAGGAAGCTGTGAGTGTGTCAGGAAACAAAGTTATATTACTTTCTTTGTAAAATAGATAATTTTGGCTTGAAAAAATGACAGAACTATAATTTAATTCCTGTATTGTATCACAATAATAACACCATTAAGAAAAAGCACATTAGGCCCTCCCTGGTGGCACAGCGGGTTAAAGCATAGCGCTGAGAATCTAAAGCCGCTTCTGCATGAGTTCGATTCCCGCCTGCCCCAGAGGTGACCACATGGCGTGGCAGACCTCTCCTGACCCGCCCGCTGCTCCTCTCAGCAGTGTACTTCGTCGATCTGCCTGTTCTGTTCCCCACTCTGTCTCTGGTGAAGCCTCTCGCCGCCCCTGAGCCTCTGGCCTGTACCCCAGTTCTGTATGCACAAATAAATAAATCTTTAAAAAAAAAAGAAAAAAAAAAGAAAAAAAAGAAAAAGCACATTAAATTGAGCCTGAGAAAGGATGATTTGCTAGATCAAACATTCAGATTTCATTCTTGCAATTAGCCAATTAGTATAATTTGTCAATTGATTCCCTTTAGGTAATTCTATATGGTTATTCCTTTGGTTTTAACTGACCTTGTAGTTGGACTTTCAAATATTTGATGACTCAAACCACTTATTATTTAGCAAATAGAAGTCAGTAGATTTCTGTTTGCCTTTTAGCCGATTATGGTGAAAACTACTGTTATGGTGATTTATACCCCTTTCTTCCTAACTGGAATTAGATAGAAAAATGCAATTTTAAGTAAATGCTTATTCAGAAAGTAACAAATCAGTTTAAAAGTTTGATTTTTTTAAAATACATTAGAATTTTTCACAACTTCTGTCACATTCCAGACAGAAATGAATCCTGAGAAAAATCTTTGGTCATGACATTTAGTTAAAATTATAACTAGAGTTTTTTTTTTTTTTTTAATTTGTTTGCTTTATCAGGGGGGCATTTTATCTTTCTTTTTAAAGTGCAAAGTATTTGCACTTATTTCCCCCATATACTCAATCAGCAATTAGTTTGTGTCACAGATCATTTGCTAAAAGACATGGAAAAGATGTTTGCTTTTGTTTTAGTTCACAGTAATTCTATAGATCTTTACTGACACATCATACATATTATGTTACTACTCTCGTTCTGATTTCTTTCTCATCTGTATGTTTCATATATTTCAACCATATTAAGCTGTTGTCTCTCCCTGGAATAGCTGCCTGTACTTCTAGCTCACTGCTACCTAACCTGGCTGTGATTCATAGTTACCAGTGGCAAACATTAAAAACATCTGTTTCTTGGCTCTACCTCGTGAGGGTCTAATTTGCTAAATCTGAAGTGATGCTGAGACCTCAGCTCTACATGTGTTGCAGATGCATAACCAAGTATAGGAAACCTAGCTTTAACTTTCACCTGATCTTTCAAATTCAAAGCTACTCTAATTTCCTTCCTTTCTCACCCCCCTTTTTTGCTTCTATAGTATCCTGTGTTATCTTTTAGAATAATATTTATAATTTTATGGTTATAAATTATAATATAGTGTGTAAACTCCTTGAAGGGAACAAGGATTTATTCCTATTACATTTTGTATCTTCAGCATTTAGCATCATGTCTGGCACATAGTAGGCACTTAGTAGATATTAGATAAATAAACAAAGACATGGAAATGCTTTTCAATTCCAAAAAGTAGGCACAAGTTAATACTTTAAATGTTTCTGTGTCCTAAAGTTTGTTCGTCTAGTTTTTAGCAAATGTTAATCTGATATTAAAGACATTTTAATAAATAGACTGCCAGAATTTTATAATACTATTTCAAACTATTGCCTTAGGTAAAACAGTGTAATGCTTATGGGGGAAATGAAAAGACATTCTCATAAGATCCTCATCATCACCCTAATCTATTATCATGTTCATTCCTTGTCCCTTCAGGGTCAAATTTCTTGCACTTTGTGCTTAGACTTTCTCTGACCTTACCCATTCCCAAAGATTGTTTTTATTTGCCTGGCTTTAGCTTCATGAAACATTAGGAAATTTCCTGCCTTTAAGTAATTGTTTATGCTAAATTCCTGTTTAGCTGCTTGCAAATATGATTAAGATGAGCAACAAAAAAGGCCTTAGGGATTAGGGAAAAGTGTTTTTTCCTCTAGCGCTACAGCTGATTACTCTTTCTTGGGTTGAACACTTGATGAAGTGCTTTACTTAGGAGTAGGGACATGAATAACATATATATATCTTGAACACAAAAACTGTCATGTTGATCCTGCGAGAGGCACCTGGGATGTGGAGTGACTAAAGGAATGTGGAACCATAGATCCCATCTCATCTTTACTCTGGAGAGTAGATGCATTTAGCATTGGGTTGGGTAAGTTCTGCCTTTCCTCATTTGCCTTCCTTTACCCTATCTCTGCTCCGCCCACCCCGTAGGCCCCTAAAATAAGAGTAAGATTATGGAGTTAAATGTTTACATAATTTTTCTTAAAATGTGATTTACTACTACTGGATTTATTACTTGTAGACTTACAAGTAGGGAGGATGTGAGTTTTGTAATGATTGCTGTCTGATGAGTATTTTTGTAGTTAAATAGCTCTCTGACATGATTTTTTTCCTTACTCTTATTTCAATCATTTTATAATTTAACATTCACATTTAATCCTTTTATTATTATTCACTTCCCCTTATTCAGAAGCATTGAGTGTTTGAAAAATAAGGCTCAGATGCCCGTGGTACTCATGGGCTTTTTGCAAGCTGACTCCAAATCTGATATTCTGATGCCTTATACTTCAGCCAATTCCTTGTAAATCCCTCTACTTGCCTCTGTTATTGCCTAATACTGGTCCTTCCATCTGTATTTCTTTCCACCTCTCTCCTATTTAATTTTGCTGTGACCAAATTTGATTTATGCATTCCCTAAAGCATTCTTGATACTTGTATAAGTAGCGTTATTTTTTTAAAATATTCTATCAGGGTGCTTATTTCTTTGAAGCTATTTTAATACTGGATTTGTAATTCCTTATATTGTTTTCTTTGATATATTGTATAGAGTTTAATGAATGAATGGTATGCTAAGCACTCTGGGCTAAGCAGAACCTCATTGGTCTAGGCTAGAGAGGAAATATCAATGAATACTTGTTATTTATGTTCATTTTTAATCTTATTCTCAAGCATTATGAGCTAAATGTCTTCTTAGTTGATTTTATAAATGCTCCTCATTGGTGGGGTGATCTCACCAAGGAACTTTAAATGTATTTCTTTCTATCAGGTAGAAGTTCCTAAGAGTCTTAACTAAGATAAGTCAACTTGGGCTTCACTTATTCCCTACTCTCCTACTATAAAGTTCCCTTAGAATGTACTTTATTTTGAACCCTATCCTTTTAAATCTCTTTCACAAGTAATAAATATTAGAGTTCAAATGTAAATTTATTATTTATATAAATTAAAAACTACCTGCTATTGTTTTGCAAATTATGTTGGTAATATAGCTTTTGACTATTCTTTATACTACTGCAGGGTAGGTCTTAACAATAGGAGGGCATTTTCTAACATGGAGCATTAATAATTGTTACAGGAATTTTTCTGTATAATTTCCTTTTGGTGCAATTTTCTTATATAATTTGGAGAAAGGCATGGCTGTTAAGGCTTTTAAAAATGCTTGTGGCTTTTCTTTAGTAAGGTCAGCCAAAATGTCACCCTATTTCTGATTTTCTCCCCTTTCTATATATATCTAACCACCTACTGTAATCCATGTACACTTTAACAAGTTTATAATGAATTACTTCATTTATTTCTTGGGTTTTTAGTAGCAATTGTTTTTTTCCTCTCTTGCATAATAAAAATCAGAATGGTTAAATGATCCAGAATTTGGATTCAGGTCTGATATCTGATAGGAAAGCTATCTACGATATTTACAGCAGTTAATTACTTATGTAACATTTACAAT